TCAAATAGCACAAAAGAAAGCAACTTGGTCCTTCTCTAGCTTGCAGGCCTAATAGTGACTGAACCCCCTAATAACCATGGGAGGACTAGGGTTGGGGGACAAGAGAGCATTTGTCCACTGGTCCAGTAATAATAAGATATGTTGAGTTGGTGCCCCCGAGTAAAGATAATTCACCATTCACAAACCAATCTGAGTGGGACCCACGGTCAGTAAGAGTTGCTGGGCATTATATAGCTGTCTGCTCCCTATTCAGACCTGCGATCACAGCGTCTGGCAGAGGTAAGTCTTCGAGCACCGAGTTCCTTTGATTGAAAACTGAGAGCTACAAAGGGAGCTGATGCTGGAAGATTTGAAGGTGTGTTACCATAAACCATGAGCAATGTGATAAGATGTGTGTGCATCAATAAAATGATCGCTGCTTGAAGATTGAACCATGGTGTGCTGGTGACATACTTTACTATTCACCATAAACCATGTCACAACCACCTTTCACCATGTCCACCTGTCACTGTGGCATTGTTTGCATTAAACCTTGGGATCCCCAAAAAGCATGTAGGAGGCAGGAAGAGAAGTGTGGAGGTCACAGGCAAAATAATGGGCCACACTGAAGAGGCATGTAATGGGGCCAAAGATTCAGTACTTGGGGTGGAATAGGCCTGTATTTGATCCAAGTGGTTAGAGAGGGTCATTAGGACTTGAACAGCTTTGTGTGAGCATCAAGTCCTTGTGAAAGAAGCTTGTTAGGGTCAGTAGGTGGCTGCGGCACCTCATATGGATTCATGGTTCATACAAACTGTCACAGACAGTGGTCTGTATTCACCAAAGCCTACAGTTCAGGAAATACAGGAGCATACCTGGGACTCCATGAAGGTGCTGGTATCAGAGGCGCACAGGATGCACTGGAGTCAAAGGATAGCACAGTATACTTTGCAGTCACTGCATGGGACTGGGTGCTCTGGGGTCACTGGATGATGCAGGATGCTCTGGGGTCACTTGTTGACGCAGGATGCTCTGGTTCAACTGGGTGATGCAGGTTGTGCTTTGCTCACTGGTAACATGGGAAACTCAGGATTGCATGGATCTCTGGAGATTCTATAGGTACTGGAGACACCAGAGCACAGGGGTCAATGGAAACACTGGGGTCACTAGAAGCACAGGAGTCATTGAAGATGCTGAGATCACTGGAGACTGGGGGGTCACTGGAAACACCAGGGTCATTGGGGAATCAGGGTTGAGACACAGAGATTACAGGAGATACAGGGGTCACTTTAGGCACAAAGGTGGCTGGAGACAACGAGGTCGCTGGAGAAACAGGAACACTGGGGTCACTGGAGACAATGGGTTCACTGGAATGCACAGGTATGTGAGGGTCTCTGAAAACACAGGAGTACAGGGGTCTCAGGACGACACAGAAGTGCAGTCTCTGTTCTCTGGAGGCACAGGAGTGGAGGGGTCAGTGGGGTGCACAGGAGTCACAGTCACTGAAAGCACAGGGAACACAGAAGATACACCGGCAGACACTGGAGGCACAGGGGGCCTCAGATTAGGTGTAGCAAAGAACTACGAACAACACATAAACTAGCCCTGTAAGGCCTCTATCCCATGCACTCCTGTGCTTTCTAGAGAACTCCATGACTGGAGGAGTACAGGTCATATGAGTTTCACAGGCTCTCTTCTCTGTTATTTAGTTCTTTTTCTCCTTATATGCTTCATAATCCCAAAGCTAGCAGAACACTGAGACCATTTGTAAAGCAAATTGCTGTTCTTTATAAATGTGCAGTGCAGCCATACCACTGCTTTTAAATAAGCCTAAATGTTTTTTTTAACATATTATTGTTCAATTTCTGCAACTACATTCAGGTTATGGGGTAGGGGTAGACAGTGGCGTAACAATCGCCATAGCAACCCAGGCGGCCGCTATGGGGCCCGGGCAGAGAGGGGCCCGGCCAGGGCCGCCTGGGTCGCTATGGCATGTGGGGGTGCTGGCTGTCACAGACACAGTTCAGCAGCGGCCGCGGCGCATTTCCCCTCATAGCCGCTGCGGAGCTGTGTCAGTGACAGCCAGCCGCTGCCGCAGATGAGGGCGGTGTTCAGAATGGAGGAGGCGGGGCTCACCTCCTCTTACATCACTGGCCAGCGACCTAAGAGCAGGTGGGGCCAGTGATTAAGAGAAGACAGGGCCCGTCGATAGCAGAGGAGGCGGGGCCCGGGGATGGAACAGGAGTCGGGGCCCGGGGACGGAACAGGAGTCGGGGCCCGGGGACGGAACAGGAGTCGGGGCCCGGGGACGGAACAGAAGTCATGGCCCGGGGACGGAACAGGAGTCGGGGCCCGGCAACCACAGAGGCGCTGACAGGTAAGAGATCTCAGACCCTGCAGAGCCCACTATAGAGAGTCTATGGTGGGCTCTGCAGGGTCACTCTCCGATGGGGCTCTGCAAGTGGCATGACTAGCGATCACTGGGCCCCATACAAAATTTTGCTGTGGGGCCCTGTGATTTCTAGTTATGCCCCTGGGGGTAGAGATCATGTTTAAAAATAGGACTAGATGAAGTCCATTCTTCAAGCCAGCTGGCAGTATAATGGTTTAAGCACATGGGCTTTAGTTTGCACCTGAGCAACTTTTCTTCTCTATACAAGTCATTGTGATAGCAAAAGTAAATTGAAGCATTCCACTGTAACTCTAATGTAGCTTGAAGACCTTCCTAGAGCAGCTAAAAGACAAACCAAAGCAACTCAAACATGTGTCAAAGCACCTCAGAGGCATCTGAATGGATACTGCATAAATAGTATCTTACTTCTTACTTACTTACTATGTCTATACAAGATGCTTATGGTTATTATGGTATCACCACTCAAAAAAGGCAAGCAGTGGGAAAAGGACTAGTCACCAGTATTACCCAAGGTCCCCGTGCAGCTGATCTTGTACCCATTACTGACTTTCCATACCCTGTTCTGCACTGTGCTTTGATATTGAGGGGACCATCTTGGTAGAGTCAGGAATTTTCTTACTCTTTTCAGAGCTGATGACTGGTGGTGGAGACAGCACAGAACCACATTACCAAATCTCACTTCAAATCTTGTAAGGCTAATAATTAAAGACAGCAGTGCTTTCGATCTTACACTGCAGATACACAGCTATGAGGCTCAAAGCTCAGGATTACAGGATGGATCCCAGTCAAAGAGGTGATTTAATATGTTCCTGTCTGCCACTTGTGTCTCAGACCTTCGGTCCCATGAGGAGCTATGCTAGTGAAAGAATCTTCAGCATCCAGCACACTTCTGCGAGTCTTAGATGCCTGTTCCTCTGCTGCATGTTGTGGCTCTACCCACCAGCCCCTACATCATCACAAGTATTGATTTACCAATTGATGGGTGGACCTACAGTGCATAGCAAGAGACCAAGCATCTGACACTCCCAGAAGTGTATCAGATAAGAACAGGTAAGTATTATACCTCTTTTTACATTTTATGTGACAGAATTGATCGAAGTAGCTAAGAAACATACTTTCATAGACAACAGTTTAAAAGGCTCAACATAGGTGGTAGCTGTAATCATTACATATGTTTACACTTCTAAAGGTTGCCATACACTTTACAACCCTCACAAGACTTTTGTCTTGCGAGGGTTGTAAAGTAATTTAAAAAACGTATGATCTGACCATCTTGGACAGGCAGATCGCACTTGCCATGATCACAATGCCGAACAGGCAGTGTGCGCTTGCGCACACCGGCCCGTCCGGCTTTATCTTACGAACATGCTACACACCTGCCGGAAATCGTACGATTCTCAGCGGGTTTTTGAACATGTTCCTAAGATAAAAGTTGTGCGACCTTACAGTAGCAGGGGGGCGGGCTTCCGATGACTGCAATGCTGAACGGGCAGTGTGCGAGTGCGCACACCGGCCCATTCGGCAGTTATCTCTCGATCATGATAAAAGCAAGCCGAAAATCGTACGATTCTCGGCTGGTTTGCCAACATGCTCGAAATACAAAAGTAATGCGACCGTACAGTAGAAACGGCCCCACGCCTTCCATACACTGCACGATTATCGTACGATCGCGGGTTTTCCTGCGATTCTCATACGATAATCGTGCAGTGTATGGGCACCTTTACATGGCTCTTGAGATTTGTCCAGTCCTGTTGAAGAATGTGTATAATAAGATAAATTAAAAATGGAATAGCACATGTCTTTTCAGTTTTTAATGGCTTTGAAAGAGGTTCATCTCTCTTTTCTCATCTAAGAAGTTAAAATCATCTATTTTATTAGTGTGAAATTAGCAATGGTACATTTTGCAAGTGCGCTTCATTTCACTGAAATTTCAGAATCTAATTTGATATTCATAAGAGCATAGTCATGGCTCAGTGGCATCCTACAGTGGAATCTGAAGAAAACCTCTAAAATGTATTTCTTCCTGGCATAACCTGAATGAGATGCCAAATTATATCTTAAACATAGTTTTAATTGCATGAGACAAATATATTTTGTAGAACATTTCTGTTTTTATAGCAAAAAATAAAACATTAAACTTACATAAATATTTTCTATTCCCCTGTTCTTGTTTGTATATCCATTCATATTCCCCTGTTCTTGTATATATTCAACTGAATCAGGACTCAACTAGACTATTGCATTGCCATAATGCACTGTAAAACACGTGTTAAAATCACACATTACTGCAATGCACAAAACAAAGTACGGCGCATTGCGGTTCAATTCACTTTGACTGTGACCCCCAACACACCTAGCCAGAGCACTGCAATGCATATGAATTTTAGTGCACCGCAATGCACAGATGTGAAGCAGTTAACTTCATTGAAAAAAATGGTGCATGTCTACTAAAATATACATTTGGTTGGAATTCCAACTCATTTAATATGAATAGGCTGTGCCTCAATGTGCAAAAACATGTGTTAATATGAGTGCAATATTGTAACGCATAGTGTGAATGAGCCTTTTGGTTTATGTTTCTAATTTGTATTTGTTGTTCTTTTTCTAGTGTTCATACATACCACAATGTGGAAAAAACTATGAAGTCTCATTGTCACTTGTGAATATTATCATGGAGAACTTCCGAAAACATCAAAGATTTTCATGTTTTTATGACCCAGAAGGAAATCAAAAGAATGTCATTTTGACCAAACTCTACAGTTCCAATGTATTATTTCATTCATTATTTTGGCCGACATGTATGATGATTGGAGGTATCGCCATTGTCGCCATGGTGAAGCTCACACAGTACCTCTCCCTTCTATGTGAGAGAATCCAAAGGATCAACAGATAAAACCAGTTCTGAAGTTATTTTACAACAGAATACTGTTTCTTTTTTTTTTTTCATTCTTCACCAAAGAACCTTAAGTTTGTAATGTGCCAGTCTGTTTATAAGTTCCTTAATCTATTCTTATAAGTAGAGCAATAATGCAAAATCTGTTCTTTATGCAAACAAGATGTCATATTTGGAGAGAAACTGTGGTAATTTAATTATTTTGTGTTCTTCAGTCTTTATTTACAGTCAAAACAGGGCTCATTTAAGGGGAAATTATCTTGAAATGTTGTCATGTAAAAGTCTTGTTACAACCTACAAAACAAATGCATTTTTGTAGTTTTACTTTTTTTCACCCTATGAAAGAAGCACCAGACATTTTTATGCTACAATTAATATTAAATTTAGCCTTGCTTTTAATAATTGACCTATACTTTTCAAATCATATTTGTAAAGGAAAATATGTTAGGTAGCTAGTAATGTAGATTTTAGATTTAGCATGCCAGCAATGCAAAATCAACATTTGCCAAACTTAAAAAATAGGCCAAATGTATTTCAGTTGCAAAAATTATAAAATTAAATATGTTTGAAGAGGAACTTCCCTCAATACCTGTAAATTCTTTTAAAAAAAAAAGCATAGTTAAAAATGCTACACTGCAATTATAAGAGCCAACTTTTTTGACTTAACCATCTCTTCCACACACCCTATCTTTTGTAAGGGCATCTGGTGATTTTGTTCACTTGCTTTTCTTGCTTGTTGTGAAAGCTGGCTCCCATTATTGATGCATTGCCAATATTGTGGCAATGTGTAAACAATCTAATGCTGGATTGGAAGCACACTAGCCAGGGAATGATATTGCCATGGTATCTGCACAGTCACCAGATCATGAAGAAAACACAAGAACTCAGAGTTGCCTGAAGACTTTGGGGATATATGATGTTCATATCACAGGAGTCTGCATGCAGTGGAGCCTACATTACTCTTGCCTTGGTGAGAAATATGAAAGTTAGGGGAACAGAAGAGGAAAAACGGTATTTGCAAGATTTAAAAGAAATCAAATGCAATTTTGTAAACACAGTTGATAAACAGTAATATTAGTGAAAAAAAGGTGAAAGGTCCGCATTAAGACCTTTAAAATAGAGATATGTGATCACATGAAAAATAGTATAAGTAACAATGTAGTCTTCCAAGGAAAATATTTTAAATCTTTAAACGTTGTTTTTAAATAATAAGCTTGATTTTAGTCAATGTTCATGAAAAATGTTAAATTTAATTTTGGTAAGGAAACATTTAAAGTTAAACTCTGGTCAAATGCAGTTGCCACCCTTTCCTAGATATATTAAGAATCCAATGTTCTTGGGGGGATGAAATAGAGAGAATTACTGAAGCCACACCTTCTCTCTAGATATGTGCTCGTCCCCTCACCAATGCCATTATAGAATGGACCAGCAGCCACCACTGATCATGCATTGTACATAAGAACATTGAGGTCCCATCTACATTTCAGTGCTGGAGCTAGAGGGGAAAAAAAGTGCTACATGCTACAGGTCCAAGGAATAAAGCAGGTATCCTTTTGCTCTATATTGCTTTAGACTAAATGAGTGTTAGATCCTTATTTTGTAAGCTGACCGGAGTTTAGCTGATTTTTTTTTCAAAGAAGTTTTATTGTGAAGTTGGGATGATTCACATGAAAAACCTCTAAGACTTCAAGCTAATTATATCTCTTCTGCACAATATTCATAAAATATGCACATTAAAGTGGTTTCTAAGAAGGCAAACTAGGTCATTTTTAAGGATTTTTTTCCAGTGTATAATACTTGTCCTCTTGCACCTACAGTTAAAGTAGAAGGAAAGGCTAAAATAATCCAAATTTAAAACCTCGCCTCCCCACTGTTCTGCATACAGTTGTTAAGAAATCTCTGTATACATATATTTTTTTACTTGTCTTCTGAGTGGTCCTTGGTGAAGATGTGGAAGCATGACAATGGTGCTGAATTACAGAGAAGCATGATGTAACCCACCAACTTTTACAGCTGTAGCCATTGTTGGCAGGGGAGAAAGTTTTTTCCTGCCAGCCGCAGCAACCACTCATTCAACACAGAGGAACTGAAAACACAAAAACGTACTTTTTTTGTCTTCTTCATCTCCTCATGGCTCAATTTGAAATGGCCGTCTCTATGCTTTGCAAGCAGACTGTGTAAATGAACACTCTCTCTCTCTCTCTGAACTCTCTCCTCCTATTTATTAGTATTCATTAAATTTAACAATATCCATACAGCACAAACACACATTTTTTACTTGTTCATTACTAAAAATAGGTGACATAATATAAGATACACATCATGTACAATTTAACTACAGATAATAAGTAAAAATATGTTTTGGTGAAATATTATAGTTACATCATTCATCCTATAAATGAAACATGATGATTTTTACAATACATATTTTTGGCATATTTAATGATATTTTCCCCTTAAACCCAAACTTAATCTTGTCTTATGAGTGGGAGGCTAAGGGTGATTTTGTTATAACAAACCTTTTGGTGTTTTATAACCAAGCAGGAAAAAAAAGAACTTTTATTTATTTCACTTTTTAGATATTCCGCATTATTTGTTATTATTTAATTTTGATTGCTTTGCAGGGCTTCCAAATGACTCTTTTGGAAGGGTCAAGGCAGAATATCCCAGTATCACAAAATAGTACTTTGTCTTTTGAGCATTATCCATAATTTGTATTGCTGGACTACGTGGGCAATGTTGACCTGTTGTTGTTTGCACATGATTAGACCATCTGTCTGTGTCCCCTCTGCTAAATTTAATTTATAGAATTCTACAACCTTTTCCGTCAGTCAGAAGAAACTATTGTATCATAATAGATCAATTCAATAGGTGCCTATAGACATAATAGGTACTTAGGACTACCCAGCTGATTGCAGTTGGATTGGGAAACAATCTTTCTGTTGGCTTTCGGCGACTTCTTCAGACCCCTGGCATACTCTTCCCTTCTGGATTTTCCTGGCATGTCACTTTTGTTTTCCCCTGAGATATGCCAGTGCCAAGGATGTCTTTCTCCTATCACCCCACCCTCCTCCCAAAGGCATAAACAAGCATGCCCTGATACTCAGATTTTGCATGTTTATGGAAGAACCTTACATCACTGCAGTACTCCTATCATGCAGGAACATCCAAACACTGATGTGTGCAAGATTTGTGATTTTTTTTTTCCCAACCAAAATTAAGAGATTTAATATAATGGCAGGTCAAATTTGTCTTAGTGTCCCAGCCTTAACCATTTCATCCCCCTAATTCTCTAATGATCTATTTGTGTAGTATATGAAGTGCCACAATGAAAGGAGTAGAGTCCGCAAGAACTTTTCAGAATAATTTAATTATTGCTACTACATCTGCACTGTTTATAAGGAACTATGGTTGAAGGAATAAACACCCATATGACTCGGTGATGCCTATTCCTTTGATGGACTGCACATTGCAATGCTTTACAATATGAAGTATGTATAAAATGAATACTGCCTTCATAAGATTCCATATAGAGTTAAAGCTTATGGGATTTTGGGTCCTTGCAGACCTTTACAGTGTGCCATAATACTATACTGATCCTAAGGCTCATTTGAGACTGTAATGATATTGTCTGTACTATTTACATTTTATTTTCCTTTTTATTTTTATTTTTTCAATTGCACAGCTGTTTACAAATAATAGCAAAGCCAGATGTACACATAGGGAAAATGTAACTTTTCTCCCACACAATGCCAGACACATGGAAGCTACAATTAACCCTTCGTCTTGAAAGATAATAATAATAATGACCCAGGAAAAACTGTGTATGTGCCTAAGAAACAGGAAGTCTGTAAGAACTGCATTGCATTCATTTTTGCATAGTATATTAATGTTTTAAAGCTGAACTCTTAACATAAAAACCTTCATTTAAATATATTGCTCATAATAGCCACAAAGGATATAAATCCACTTTGTGTGCACCAAATACCTTTACAGACCCAAATATTACCTTATAAATGTAAATGTGTCATCATCAATGTGCTGTACATAACCTGTGCAGAGAGCAGAGCTGTGGGAGGGACCCAGGAGGCATCACCCAATACAGGCTTCAGAAAACTACAGGAGAGAGCGGATACAAGACCAGTCTCCCTACACAAGGAGAGAGAACACCAGTGACTGGTCTTTATTACAGGAGGTTCCTGCTTACTACACAGATCTGGAAGAAATACACGAAGGACAGCAAGGTTCAAGTCTCTTGTATTTAGACAATATTTACTTATCCCGGAGTTCAGCATTAAATTTACTAATGTTTTAGACTTGTTGAAGGCACAAGAAATTATGGGGCTTATTTATAAAGGTGAGCAAAATATTAGTTATTTTGTGTTTACTGCACTCGTATGCTTGCTTTGCTTTACATTTTATAGAAGTTTCCTGTGGAAAAGGAAACAACTGCAAACTTAAACAATGCAATGATAAATATGTTTTTAAAATGAAATCGGTTTAGTAAGAGAGTACATTTCGCACTATGCCACGTGAAGCTGTTTGAACATCTAATTATGAAGGTGACTTAAAGAAAAAAAAAGGTATGCCTTTTGCCTATGATTAAAGTTAATACAGCTTCACTGAGCTGAGTGCAAAATACACTCCTTTGGGACTTCTACACAGGGACTTCGGCTTGTATCAGAGCAATGTGTACAACAAATTAGCACAAAGCATCAGCAAGCTTTAAGCAGTTTTCTAGAAGCCTTTGAAGCAACCATCAGCTCTAGTTTGGGGTTAATAAGTGCATAGGATAGTGGGAGCCATGGCTGTCACTTAAAGTGTATCTAAACCCAAAAGCTAAAATGTAATATATTGCAACTTACCATTCATTAAATCTGGTGGCTGCATTAGTTTGCTTTTCTTAGACTTATTTTCCTTTGTGATCAAGCCAGGAAGTCTGTTTTTTAACTTCCTTTAACAGACCAAACTGCCTAGCAAAAATGTTAGATAGAGGGTTG